TTTTTTTTTTTTCTCGCTGCCATGCAAATACTGAAAACAGCCATCAACGTAGGATTATCAGAGGAGCACGTGAATGATCTCGTGTGTAAACTGGAGTAGGACGTTGTTAGCTTAGCATAGTGAGTGTAAGCAGGGGGCGAAACAGCTAGCATGGCTCTGTCCAAAGTCGGCCAACACCCCTAAAGTTCACCGATTAATATCACCTGTGTTTTTAACATTTATTAAGAAAGTCTTGATTTCCATTCTGACCGTAGCATGTTGTGCTACCATGCTAAATGTTACTGGAATGCTAACTCCAGTTCGTTAATACTGATAATATTGATCATGATATATTAGCATGCTAATTGTAGCTGTATTAGCATGCTACCATGCTAAATGTTACATGATCAGTTTCCCTTTACTTTAGTAAAGGTACATATACCACACTGTGAAAAAATGACTTAATATATGTATATAAAAATAACTATATTAAGTATATCTGTTACAAGTAAAGGTTCTGCATTGACAACGTAGTAGAATAAAATACTCAAGTAAAAGTACCTGGAACTTGTACTTAAGTTAAGTATTTTGAGTAACTGACATTAAATTACACTGTACATAATGAATAGCATGCTAACTGTTAGCATGTCACAATTAGCATTAGACAACATTTAAAACGTCAAGACGTGAAAGTTAACATTGTGTTTTTATTCATTCTTTGATGTCACAAACAATATTATTTTGGCAAAAGCATCTTGTTTGGCTGCATCTGATGAGACGACAACCAACAATAAACAGACAACATTGAGAAAAATAGAGTTTTGTTGAACAAACAAATAAAAATGTAATAAAAACCCATCAGTCAAACTAGGATGTTTGAAGCATCACTCAGGTTATTGTTTAAACTGTTGCTCTCCACGTCTCTGTTGTCGGTTGTGTTTTTAGAAACAGAGTCATCTTTGGAGCGGCCCGGTTCAGAGTCCAGTACAGGGTTGTCGGGTCACTTCCCCGGGCAGAAGGGGCACGAGTTGTTCTTGCTGGACTGCAGCCAGACCCTGATGCAGTCTTTGTGGATGGTGTGTGAGCAGCTCAGCGGGTGGCGGCTCTCCAGATCCACGTGGTTCTGGCACATCAGGCAGAGTTTATGGACCCCGACCGCCGGACCTCCACCACCGGCCGCCGCCGCTGCCGTCGGCCTCTGGATGGGGCCCGGCGGAGCGGGCCGGCTGATGGGCCCAGGCGCCGACCGCTCGCTCTGCGCCAGCTTGAAGCCGACCTGCTCGATCACCTCCTCCATGGACATGCCGGCCAGCATGCCGCGGGAGCTCTTCACCTGCTGCAGCAGCAACATCAGCTGGGCCCTGGTGCATTGTGGGAAACGAGTCCTGAGCCTCTCCAGGATCTTGTCGAGTTTGCCGGCGGGGGCGGAGCCGGCGGCGGTGGGAGGAGGGGAAGCAGCTACAGGGTGGATGGGCTGAACGGGAGGCGACGGAGAGAGACTGGGAGGGGGAGTCACCCTCATGTGGGGCTGGAACTGAGGCGGAGGCATGTGGAGGGGCTGGTGCTGGGGGGGGAGGGGGAGTGGGTGTGGGAGGGGGGGCTGGAACTGGAGACGGGGCGATGGGAGGTGCTGGTAGCGGTGACGGTACTGGGGATGGTAAGGGGGCTGATAGGGGGGCTGGTAGTGGAGCGGGTGTCTCTGGGGAGGGAAGGGTCGGTTCATTGGGAATGGAGGAGGGGGGGGCATGAACTGGGGGCGGACCAGTGGCTGCATCACCTGATTGAACCTCAGGTCGGCCTGTGGGAGGAAAGAAGATTCGGTAAAGATAAGAAGTAAATCTTCTCAAACCTAACAGAAAACAAGTCTTACTCTTATACGTCCTCAATTTGTAGACATATCTTTTACGTCTTACCATGGGGACCTGAGGCAGAGACGGGACGTTGATCCTGGGGAGGGACTCTAACTCCCGACCCTGCTGGAGCTGCTGCAGGACCTCCTGGAAGCGGCTCTGGAGCTCGGCGCGGTTCCTCCGGACCAGACCTTCCTTCTTCTCCCACTTCTGCCGCTCGTGGAGGAACTCCTGCGGGGACTCCACCCGGACGGTGTTCAGGTACTGACCCACCTGGTACAGGTTACACACAAGGTCAACGTGTTTTATATCGCACACTGGCGATCCGTACTGACCCCTCACAGATAGTCACAGTTTAACGTTAACCATCAGAGTGTAAATAAAGTTTTACAGACTCAGTAGAACATGTGTTTCTAGTCTCTGATCATGTTTCATTGTAAACAACCAATCAGTGTTTAAAGCAACAGGAGGAGAGGTAGTAACGTTAGCAGCACCGCTAACGGCTAACCAACAGGAGGAGAGCTAGTAACGTTAGCAGCACCGCTAACGGCTAACCAACAGGAGGAGAGCTAGTAACGTTAGCAGCACCGCTAACGGCTAACCAACGGAGGTTCACCAGTTACATGATGATGCCTTCAGGCTCTGCTCAGTGAACATGAGTACTGGCTGAAGGTACATTATAACGTTGTCATGATGTGTTCACATGTCATCTGTAAAATGTAGTTTTGGTGATAAACTTGAATAAATCCAGTAGTTTGAAGGAGATGTTTTCAGGTTAATATAAAATAGATATTAGAGATGAATTATGATGTTTAACTTCTAACACGAGCTCTAAGAACATTATTATACTTCATTAAAATAATGAGATTTATTTTAATCCATAAAAATACAATCTTTTATTTCCTTATCATTTGAATTGTGTTTTTATGAAGAAAGAAAACACTATAAATTACTAAAACAAAGTAAAAAGTATAACATTTAGTAGTTTTGATGGTTTACTGACTTCAGAGCGTTGAAATGATTTGTTGGGACGGTGTCTGGGTCCTTGTAGACCAGCTGCTATAATCAAACATCAAAGGGATCTGTATCTGGTAATATGGATCATTGGTGATCATCATTGATCGCCCCTCCTGGCATCCGTACCTCTCTGAGCCAGCCCTCGATGCGAGCCATGGCGACGTCCCTCTGCTTCTCCACGGCGGCGATCTCATCCCTTAAGGCCCTCAGCTCGGCCTCCCGCGCCTCCTTCCTCGCTCGCTCCATCTGTCGCCTCAGCTCATCCAGCTCCTCCTGCCACCTCTGCTGCTCCTCGCTCTGCTCCTCCGTGAGTGCCACAAGCCTCCGGTCGCTCTCCTCCATCTCCTTGTCCAGCCTAGAGAGGAAGAGAGGGAGATTATATATTGTTTGTCTAGGGAAAATATGAAAAAAAGACACAACAGCGTTCCTTAATGTCCGCTGTGTTTGTGGTCTTTACAAGAGGAGAGACAGCTAGCATAGCAAGCGAGACGAGAGAAAGCTAGCATAGCGAGCGAGAGGAGAGAAAGCTAGCATAGCGAGCGAGCGGAGAGAAAGCTAGCATAG